TCAAGGAAGTTCGCCGCCTTAAACTTTGCCTAAATTGTTTACGTAATGACCATTACGTCAAGTCATGTAAAATGGGATCTTGCCGTGAATGCTCGGGTAGACACAACACTCTATGTCACCTGCCATTGGACATAAAAGAGAAGCCAACCAAGGAGAGTGTTGAGACCCCATCGATGTCCAATGCCAACAATGAGAGTAACGAACAGGTAGCAATACATCTGTCGGCGAATGCGCTAGCGAAACGTCACGTGATTATAGCAACAGCGAGAGTTTACGCGATACTGCCTAACGGTTCGAATGTACCATGTCGTATACTTTTGGACAGCGGAAGTGAAGCGCATCTTGTCACTAGCTCAGCGTGTAATAAGATCGGAGTTAGACGAAATCAATCTTCGGAAATCATTACGGGTATAAATGAACTCACGAATCAAATACATCAAGTATGCGATATTGTTTTGCAATCGTGTCAATCGAATTTTCGCTTTAGCGTACATTGTCTCATCGTACCAAAAATAACAAAGAATTTACCATCGATCGAGATCTCGCGTAAGACACTTCAAGTTCCATCTAATCTAAAGCTTGCGGATTGCGAATTTGATAAATCTGGCCCCATAGACATATTAATAGGCGCAGAATATTTTTACGAAATACTAGAGGCAGGAAAAATAGAACTCGGCAAAAATCGCCCAATTTTACAGAACACTAAACTCGGTTGGGTCCTTGCCGGACCAATCATGTTAAAGACGAACTCCAAAACGTCTGACATGCTTGTAACAACCATATCGCTTCATTGTTCCACCCAACAGGGTGAGTCGCTCAATCGAAATCTCGAACGATTTTGGGAAATCGAAAATTGTAATACCTATGTGCGTCCGATTATGTCCGAAACGGAACAAAAATGCGAAGAAATTTTCGAGCTAACGACCGTGCGTGATAATAATGGTCGATTCGTCGTGCGTTTACCCATTCGTGAAGACGCTGAACCGTTGGGCGAATCTCGCGGAATCGCAGAAAATAGATTAAGGTAATTGGAACGTCGTTTTAAGAGTAACCCATCATTGCGAGAGGAATACAATAAGTTTATGCGCGAATATGAGACATTAGGTCACATGTCACAAGTAAGGGACGATGAAGATAGACCCAATTCACAGACTGTATATTTACCACACCATTGCGTTGTAAAGGAATCTAGTTCTACTACACAATATCGCGCTGTTTTTGACGCATCTAGTAAGACTACGTCAGGACGATCTCTTAACGACATACTGATGATCGGTCCTACAATCCAAAATAGTTTAATAGAAATAATGATTCGGTTTCGTATGCACAAGATTGCGTTAACTGGAGATATAAAAAAGATGTATCGTCAAGTAATTATTGATCCGCAAGATCGCGACTATCAACGAATTTTATGGCGATATTCATTAGATGAACCGATTCGTGAATATCGTTTGAACACAGTCACTTACGGAGAAGCTAGTTCATCGTACTTAGCTATTAAGTGCATATGTAAACTCGCAGAAATAGGCGAACACGCGTATCCAAATGCTTCACGCGTACTACGAGACGAAATCTATGTAGATGATATCATGACAGGCGCCGAAGATGTAAAGGGTGCAATTGAGTTGCGCTCACAGATTTCAGAATTATTAAGCACCGGAGGTTTCGAAGCTCACAAATGGCATTCGAATTCTCCGGAGGTTGTATCCTTAACGCCACAAAATGAGAAAATGTCTTTTATTCTCAGTATTGATGACAAAACTGCTATCAAGGCTCTCGGATTAGAATGGAATCCGGATGAGGACAATTTTAAATTCACTGTGCGTAAACTCGCATCCTCTATAACGAAACGACAAGTACTTTCTGCAATAAGTAGGCTGTTTGATCCTCTTGGACTAATTGGGCCAATACTAACTAGAGCGAAGCTGTTAATGCAGGAAACATGGCGAATTGATCGCGATTGGGATGAGCGACTTCCTGATGAATTTCTCGTTAAATGGGAGGAATTCAAGGTCGAATTAAGTTCGTTAAAAACTCTATGCATTCCGAGACGTGTTATTGCATGTGATAAAGCTCAGCGATTATTCCTTCATGGATTCTGCGACGCTTCAGAACGAGCCTATGGCGCTTGCGTATATATACAAACGGAAGATTACCGAGAAGAGCTTAGTTCTCGAATACTGTGTTCAAAATCGCGAGTAGCTCCGATAAAGACAACAACGTTACTTCGATTAGAATTATGTAGTGCCGTCCTATTAACACGATTAGTAACCGTAGTTCTTCGAGCCCTCAAAATACCGATTAAGAACGTAAGAATGTGGTCTGACTCCATGGTCGTGTTATATTGGATACGCGGCGATGTGTCACGATGGAAATCTTTTGTCGCAAATAGGGTAACCGAGATCAACGAAACCATACCAGCGGTAACCTGGGGTCATGTAAGTGGCAAGGAAAATCCAGCAGATGTGCTATCTAGGGGCACTAGTCCTCGGCTACTTGAGAAGCTACAATCATGGTGGGTGGGACCGCCTTGGTTGCTCGATAAAGGAGTGTTGACGAAAAATCAACGAGAGTTCAACTTATCGCCAGATGCTTGCAAACTGATATTCATTGAAGAGCGCAAGAAGGGACAAACTTGCCACGTTGCTACTGGAGGTCAACAACTCATTGCAAATTTACTTAATACCTTCTCGTCATTAACGAGGATTGAGCGAGTAATCGCTTATTGTCGACGATTCATATTGAATGCAAGAAGGAAGCCACAGGATCGCATCTTGAATTCTTTGTCAGTGCAGGAGCTGTGTGAGGCACGTTGTGTTCTTATCCGTTATGTACAAGCGAATCACTTTGCCAAGGAACTTTCGGATTTGAAGAGCAATCGTAATAGCAAATCTTCAAGCAAGATTGCATCCTTGATGCCCTTTCTCGACAATCAAGACATCATCAGAGTAGGCGGTCGTCTGCAGCAAAGTTGTTTAAGTTTTGAACGCAAACACCCTATTTTACTACCAATAGGGGATCGTTTCACGAAATTACTGGTTGAGAGAGAACATAAGCGTCTTCTTCATGCAAACCAACAATTATTGTTATATTCCAATCGACAACGATACTGGATTTTAAATGGAAGAGCACTGACGCGGCAAGTGTGTCGTCAATGCATACGCTGTTTTAAAACGCAGCCCCACGAAACCTTTCAAATGATGGGAAATCTACCAGAATGTCGTGTTCAGCCAAGCCGATGTTTTTACGTTACAGGAGTTGATTTTGCAGGACCGATCATCACGCTGGTTAACAAGGGTCGTGGACGGAAAACAAATAAATCTTACATCACTTTATTCGTTTGTTTTGCGACCAAGGCGATTCATTTGGAAGTCACGAGTGAGTTGTCAACCGCTGCCTTTATGGCGACTCTACGTCGATTCGTGAGCAGAAGAGGATGTCCGCATACTATATGGAGCGATAATGGTACAAACTTCGTTGGTGCCAACAGAGAATTGACAGAAATACAGCAGTTTATAAGATCTCAAGTCATAGATGAGGCAGGAGACATACTTACTAACGAAGGGATCAATTGGCGATTTCTTCCTCCAAACTCTCCCCACATGGGAGGCTCTGGGAAGCTGGAATAAAATCATGCAAATATCATCTCAAACGAGTAATGGGAAACGTAATGTTCACCTTT